GAGGGGAATTCGGCTCTGTGTCCGCCATGTTGCTACAGCCGACCGGGGATCTCGTGCTACCACATCTGCCAGTGCGACTCCCGGCCAGGTCTTCCCAATCGACCCAATCGGCCCAATGGGTCCCAGTTCGGAAGACCGTACTGGGGTCACCGACGATATTGATGGAAACCGAAGAAAGCTAGAAGTTTAGATACGAACTCCCAACTGCCTTTTCCCCGTGGATTTCGAGGAGAAAAGATGAATTTCGTTTTGAAGGTTTCCTCTTCTTCCAGTCGAACTCCCAGTTTCTCTTTTAAAATTCAAGAACTAAATTTCGTTTTTCAATATACATGATAACGTCTCAATGTTTTATTGTTTCTGTAGAGAATACAATTTCGACGTTTGGGTCTCTCTCAAATCGTGTTTTTTATTTCTTGCTCCCACTCGGAAATTTCCGATTCTTCTTGGCAAAGAAATTCCGACCAAAAGCATGTAAACGTGGATTTCCCCTAATGCTTTGAAAAAATCCTGAATATACACAACTGGGAAAAAAAACGTTCAGGAAACAAAGCTTTGGCCCCACTGCAAGGAAACAAAAACCGGTTTTGAAGCGCCTCTCCACTTTTCTCACTTAGTCGCCCGTGGGGCGTGGGCCGCTGGCGTGGGCCGCTGGCACCCAGAAGATGCGAATGATCTTCGTGAAGCGGGACGTCTAGTGACTCCTAGCAGTTCTCCTGACGGGGAGAAGAGGCTGCCATGCTCTTCATTTCCCCAGTATGCGATTGGCAAATTCGCATGAGAGCAATCCCTGTTTCCCGTAACACAATTGTGGAGATCCACAAACTCACGAGACCTCATAAGTACCTCATGAGATCTCATGCGAATATCATGAGATCTCATGATAAATTTTTGGTAGGGGATATCTGGAGTTGATGGGAATCTTCTACGGAAGAATCTTCTCTTCATCCGTCTGTGAAGTCCGATTCCCCAATTGTGACGCATAATTCTTCTAATGCGACATCAGAATATCAGTGAGAGATCGCGTGATGCGCATTCGAACTCTCTCTAAAAAAAAAAAAATCTCCCTCGCGGATATTTCTCAGTGGGTCACGATCCGAAAGGCCTGAAGGAAGGCGTTTCAGCTCGTGACTTCCCCGACCGATCGTTCCTCGAAAGGGGCAATCTCTTCCGGGGAAATCCCCTCTTGGGGAATCCCCTCTCGAGCATCATGGAACTACTTCCCTCCTTGTGAAAATTCAACAGTAAAAATAAAAATTGAGTTAAATTTCTGAGAACCCTGCCAGAGGAAGACGCTCGAAACTCCCGTTGGACCCCGCCCAAGAAAGAAATGTAGAAAAAAATGCCGGGATGAATCCCATTCGCCGGGCTTCGAGTCCATGACTTACGTGACTTACGGTTGCACGGCATTCTTGTTCTGTTTTCGCTGGGGGACGGAATTTAAACAAGTGTGAAGCCCATTTTCTCCCGGGAAATCGGAGAATACAATTTAAATTGTGAATATATATGTGCGGATGAAATAATAGAATTTTTGTGACAGTCACCGCCTCTCCGGAAAATTTAACCCGAGACCTTCAATGTCAGGTGACTCGGGTTTCTTTTATCAGCATTGTCGCCTCTCAAAGCTACCTCGTGCAACAATTCGAGTCGTCGGTGCTTTTTGCCCTTTCGGTCTTGCTATTTTAAAAAGTTCTCAATTTCCCATCGGAATTGCTGAAACCATAGAACTTCAGATTCCAAAAAGGAAGCGGAAAATTCCCGAGAAGAAAACTGGGAAACGAACGACGACGAAGAATTACCTTTAAAAAAAAAGGGGGAAATATAGATAAGAGAGCGAAGAAAATCGTGCTCAGACCTAGCCCCGAGGCTTCAGACGCACTAATCACGAGCCCGATAAGAAGGGGTGACCGCAGCGAGTCCTTGATCGTGACTTGCAGGCTGGGGATTCCCCGGCCGTCCGCCCTTCCCATCGGAGGGGGGGAAGGAAGGAGGTCTGCTTCCTGGAATGCACGTGGCGGACCCCAGCCACTAAGATCGGCTGTTTTGCATCTTTCCTCTCAGTATGTTGGATGCGGTGTGCGTGTGCGTGTGTGCGTGTGCGTGTGTGTCTCGAGCCGTCTTTTCTTCATGTTGAACATGAAAAGAAACATTTCAGATTGAATGTTTAATATTATCTCTTCTGTTCCGTTTGTAAAGTGAGATTTTCATCCGTGATAAGATCTCGTTTCTCTCCCTTCCCTGCAGATGGATCTGCGATCGTGTTTTCTTCTCCTCGCCTTCGGGTATCTGTGCCTGTTCGTGATGGAATCGGAGGGGAATTCGGATCTGTGCCCGCCCTGTTGCTACAACCAGCTGCCGATCCAGTGCACGCATATCTGCCAGTGCGGCCCCCGGCCCGGTCAGTCCAATCAGCCCTATCAGCCATATCAGCCCTATCAGCCTCATCAGCCCTATCGGCCCAATCGACACAATCAGCCCTATCGGCCCAACTACGGAAGACCGACTTTCGGGTAGCCGGGAAGGGGAAATGACGATCCCAACTGCGAAGTTTTCGTGGATTCAGAGAAGAAATTGACATTCTTCCGTGAGGTTTCATATCGTCTGTGTCGAGAATACAGTTGTGACGTTTGAGACTCTCTCACATCGTGGTTTTATTTTTTGCTCTGTCGGCAGACGATGACATTCCACTCTGAATTATCTTCTCAGTCGCACAAACACAGAATAAGCACCCTTCATCACAGTGTCCGCAATCTAGCGAAAATTTTCCCATGTAGAAAACACGAAGTCCCGGATTCAAAAATATCAAAATCGAGTTGAGAATTATTTTTTGATCGCTTCTCGGACCCTGCTGAAGCATGAAGCGTCATTCTCTACCTCGTTTGAGAGACATTACACTTCCAAAAAATTTCAGACGTTCCCGACTAAGAACGTGCAAACTTGCATTCGCCTTAATGATAATTTAAAAAATGTCCAACACATCCTGAGAAATTCCAATTCATGTTGTTGCCGAGTTGTCATTTTTGGATATTTGCAGATTTGATGCACCGTTTCGCAAACACGCAGAGATCTGGAACGATCCCCAAACTGTCTACTCCTGCGTACCACTTGCACCGTCATTTATTTATTTTTGAGCAAGTTTTAAAACATAAGTTTTACATGAGCACGGCAGCCAAACTTTTCTCAAGCAACGCCACAAATGAGGCTCTTACCACGTGACGAGTCTGAAAACAAACCATTCCCCATCGGAAATTCAGCCCTCAAAATGATCAACTCCGACATTGGCTTCGCCAATCGAAGGACCATTTTTATGCTAAACTCGCTTCACCTGCGGGCGAAGATCTTCAAAATTCTGTGCGACCGTGGCCACAAAAACGAGATACCTGCTGAATCGGTTTGCAATCGTTGCCCCTCCAGATGGCTGGAGACTCGAACGACGATTTTTTTACGGGATGCGTCATTTTTTTCTGCGTGAAAAATATTTAGTAGCAATAAAAATATTTGTTTAATTCTCTATTTCCGACGCAATTTCCAAGCACGAAACATTCGATGACATTCGGGGGAAACGAACCCGACTAACGTCGTGAAGCAGAGGCAGTACTGAAGTACTGAAGTTTTTCACCGACAGATCCCGCCTGCAATGCACACTTCCTGGAGGAAATTTTCTTCATGAGCGCAGACGAAGCGAGTCCTTTACACGGGCTGAAGCCAAAAAAAAGGGTGGAAATGGGAATTTGGTGAGGCGCTGCGAGAACTTTTGAGGCTGATTAATAATACGAAGACGGGAATCTCCTTGGACGGGAATCTTGGACTCAACTCGTGAGTTTCCTATCGGTGGTTACTTCGATGCGGGTTCGAATCGGCTAATCCATCGGCTGATCCGTATACCCGATTAAAGGAAGCAAACGACGTTTCGGTTCCCAGATTTCCCGATAACGTCTCCACACTTGACTCGTGGGGAGCCTCCCTCTCTCCTGCGAGATAGCGCGAGCCGTTGGGAGCTGAGCGATGGTGCGTGGTCGTTGTCGGCCGAGGTCGAGTCGGTGAAAGTGCGGGACTCTGTTCGGGGTTCGGCTGATGTCGTCGAGTGGCCGTCCGATGCTTTAACGTTTGGGCCATCGGCAATAAGGTGACGCATTCGGCACTAGATTTGGCTTTAAATGGAGATCAACTACATATTTACCAGTCGTTGAAGCGACTCGTTGAAACAAAGGGCAGTAGAGAAGGAAGAAATCTTTCTCTCTCCCTCTCTCCCCCTCCCTTAGCTCTTTTCTTTCTACCATTCCCTCCTTCTCAGACAATATTCTAAGCATTCTCGTGTTGCACTGCAGGATTCCATAAATCCAGCAGTGCAACATGCGAGTAATCCTGAATCTCCAATGAGCTCTCTGATGATGGGTGCATCGATGCACTTAATAGGTTGGTAGCCACCATCGTTTATGGTTATCGTCTTCCAATCGGAGACTTCTCTTTCCATCTTTTTGCCTGGGCGAAACGTGCGCATGTGTCTCGACATTGAAGCGTCCAAAACGTGTTTTGCCTAAATTCTGCGTTATCTCAGGAATGGATGACTGAATGTGGGAATGGTTCGTTCTCATAGTATACTCACATCTGACAATCACATCTGACAATCACAGCTGGCCAATCACAGCTGGCCAATCAAGCCTTGCCTGGCTTTCGTTGTGGCTTTCTTCATTGAACCTAATATTTCAGTCTCCATCTCTCGCTAGACCTCGAAATAGGCTGACCTCGAAATAGGCTGACCTTGGCTCTGTCAGTGTGGGTCGGAGGAATCTTCTCCGCAGCTGGCAACCCTGTTTCCCTTTCGTGGAATGGTGACTTCGTTTCGATTCGTTTAAGTCACAGGAATCTCATAACGAAGTGCTGAATGTTTGGCGAGATTATTTATTACTGGGTTGTCACAGATTTATTACAGGTTAATAAACCTGAAGAGTATAATTGGTCGATTCGGGACCCGCCCAAAAAAAAAAAGAATCCGTTCCTCCATGGAGAAACGAAGCGGAGGAAGCAGGTGGAACAGAGGCACTGCCACCCCACCTGGCGAAGCAGAAATAAAGGGATGGCTGTACAAATGGGCCAATTATATCATAGGCTATCAGAAGAGGTGGTTCGTCCTTTACAATGGACTTCTTTCCTACTACAGGTAAGTGACACCATTTCCTTTTTACAGTTCATCACTTAGTCATTGCAACAACGGGAAGCTGGATAGTTGGGGATCTCTGGGAAGCAAGATCGTTCCGTGGTGAAGGCCATTCACCATTGGAAAGTGCATCGAGTCAGGAGCAATGCCATTTGATAAGCCCTGGAATCAAGTGGGAGGAAGACAAGTTGAGTTCCAGAACCCAGATAGGAGAAGATAAGAGGCCGATATTCACCCATAGTTTCCACTCTGAGAGATAGCGGACTCTTTTCATCTGTGGGACTCGGAATGTAGGTCTCTTAAGCGTTTTATTTCACGGAGAAGAAGGGAAATACTTGGTAAATAAAGCGAAGTCGGATCAGGAAATATTTTCCGACCATTAGAGGACTTACAGGCTTACAAGATCTTACTCTGAAATGCTAACGATGAGGAACCAGAAATTTCTGAAATACCTCGTATATTACTGTGCGGAATCATAAGCAAGAAAGGAAGAAAAGTTAATTGTCACACAATATTCCCATTCTGAGCCATAGAGAACTCTTGTCTTCAAACTGGAGATACAGAGAATGTTTGACCTATCTCTTTTCATCAAATGGCTTGAAAACGTGTTGGCAGGACCCAGGCAGAAATGTCTCACACATGCCAGGGGACTATGACTATGCATGGAGAGACAATCATCACTGAAGATTCGCGTAATTTTGTGGTGTCAAATGGGGCTACTCAGACTTGGCATTTGCGAGCAAGTACGGAGGTGGATCGACAGCGCTGGGTCAAAGCATTAGAATTGGCCAAAGCCAAAGCTATCAAAATGTTGGAGTTAGGTAAGAAAATGAATAGAATTTCATGAATGGTCTGTGTTGCTTGGCAGTGAAAGAAATATTTCCATGTCCTATGTTCACAAAGACGAACATGAAGATGTGGAACTGGAGAAGCCGGAAGGAGATCCTCAGCTGGCAGAAGACATGGAGGTTGTCATTCGCACCCTTGGCGGAAAGCTAGAAGATATGACAACATGCGAAGAGTTGATTCGGAAACATGGAACGAGTCTCCAGCGTGCTCTGGGAGAACTGGAGTCCTTGCATGCTCAAGCTGGTACCGAGGGAAATGATGCCATGACAGTTGCTGCTAAGGTTCCCAGTCATTTGAAGACTGTCAGTGAGAGAGCCATTCTCTTTCGTATCACTTGTAATGCCATGATCAAGGTCAGTCTCTTTCCACATTATAATTTGCAGTGATTATTCAATTAGATATTCTTGAGAGAACAGAATATATGTTTTCATCAGGCCAGTTCGGATTATGTTGACCTGGCGACCAATCAAGGTCGCAAGTGGCAGCGCCTTCTACAGCATGAAAGGGATCAGCGAAATCAGTTTGAAGAGATGGTGATGGCTTTGGCCAAGCAGCTCTCTCACAAGGAAGAGAGCGTAAAAGTCCATGCAAGTTCCCCATTTCAAGCTCCTCCGGTGACTGGGGTTGCCAAAACCAACAGCAGCATCCTCACGGAGTCTAAATCCGATGAAGGAGAGTTGGTTGATGCTCATGTGGAGGGTCATGAACCAAAGAGTACCTCTCTTGATTTCGTTGTTCATGAATGTCACAAACTATCATTTACTGTGGACAGTCTCCCAGCCACTGTTTCCTCATCTTCCATTGGGATGAGGCACTGATCTGTCAATCCATGACATACACCTTCTTTTCATGAGGCTCGTTTTGCCATATGAATGCTTTTTCAGATGTTACTATACCGTTTAAAGTTTCATGAAAACTTTTTGGAACCCGTTTCACGGGCCGGCGAAGGAAACACAAGTTCTCATGAGACAGAAGACGGGAATGAAGAGTATCATGCTCGTCACCGACGCGTGCTCAGNTCTGACAATCACATCTGACAATCACATCTGACAATCACATCTGACAATCACATCTGACAATCACATCTGACAATCACATCTGACAATCACATCTGACAATCACATCTGACAATCACATCTGACAATCACAGCTGGCCAATCAAGCCTTGCCTGGCTTTCGCTGTGGCTTTCTTCACTGAACCTAATATTTCAGTCTCCATCTCTCGTTTGACCTCCAGATAGGCTGACCTCGAGATAGGCTGACCTCGAGATAGGCTGACCTTGGCTGTCAGTGTGGGTCGGAGGAATCTTCTCCGCAGCTGGCAACCCTGTTTCCCTTTCGTGGAATGGTGACTTCGTTTCGATTCGTTTAGGTCACAGGAATCTCATAACGAAGTGCTGAATGTTTGGCGAGATTATTTATTACTGGGTTGTCACAGATTTATTACAGGTTAATGAACCTGAAGAGTATAATTGGTCGATTCGGGACCCACCAAAAAAAAAAGAATCTGTTCCTCCATGGAGAAACGAAGCGGAGGAAGCAGGTGGGACACAGGCACTGCCACCCCACCTGGCGAAGCAGAAATAACGGGATGGCTGTACAAATGGATCAATTATATCAAAGGCTATCAGAAGAGGTGGTTCGTCCTTTACAACGGACTTCTTTCCTACTATAGGTAAGTGGCGCCTTTTCCTTTTTACAGTTCATCACTTTCATTGCAACAACAGCAAGCTGGATAGTTGAGGATCTCTGGGAAGGAAGATCGTTCCATGGTGAAGGCCATTCACCATTGGAAAGTGCATCGAGTCAGGAGCAATGCCATTTGATAAGCCCTGGAATCAAGTGGGAGGAAGACAAGTTCAGTTCCAGAACCCAGATAGGAGAAGATAAGAGGACGATATTCACTCATAGTTTCCACTCTGAGAGATAGCGGACTCTTTTCATCTCTGGGACTCGGAATGTAGGACTCTTAAGCGTTTTATTTCACGGAGAAGAAGGGAAATACTTGGTAAAGAAAGCGAAGTCGGATCAGGAAATATTTTCTGACCATTAGAGGACTTACAGGCTTACAAGCTCTTACTCTGAAATGCTAACGATGAGGAACCAGAAATTTACGAAATACCTCGTAAATTACTGTGCGGAATCATATGCAAGAAAGGAAGAAAAGTTAATTGTCACACAATATTCCCATTCTGAGCCATAAAAAATTTTTTTCTTCAAACTGGAGATACAGAGAATGTCGACCTATCTCTTTCCATCAAATGGCTTGAAAACGTGTTGGCAGGACCCAGGCAGAAATGTCTCACACATGCCAGGGGACTATGACTATGCATGGAGAGACAATCATCACTGAAGATTCGCGTAATTTTGTGGTGTGAAATGGGGCTACTCAGACTTGGCATTTGCGAGCAAGTACGGAGGTGGATCGACAGCGCTGGGTCAAAGCATTAGAATTGGCCAAAGCCAAAGCTATCAAAATGTTGGAGTTAGGTGAGAAAATAAATAGAATTTCGTGAATGGTCTGTGTTGCTTGGCAGTGAAAAAAATATTTCCCTGTCCTATGTTCACAAAGATAATGATGAAGATGAGGAAATGGAGAAGCCGGAAGGAGATCCTCAGCTAGCAGAAGACATGGAAGTTGTCATTCGCACCCTCGGCGGAAAGCTAGAAGATATGACAAAATGCGAAGAGTTGATTCGGAAACATGGAACGAGTCTCCGGCGTGCTCTGGGAGAACTGGAGTCCTTGCATGCTCAAGCTAGTGCTGAGGGAAACGATGCCATGACAGTTGCTGCTAAGGTTCCCAGTCATTTGAAGACTGTCAGTGAGAGAGCCACTCTCTTTCGTATCACTTGTAATGTCATGATCAAGGTCAGTCTCTTTCCACATCATCTGTAATTTGCAGTGATTCTTTCATCAGATGTTCTTGAGAGAATAGAATACATGTTTTCACCAGGTCTGTTCAGATTATGTTGACTTGGCGACCAATCAAGGTCGCAAGTGGCAGCGCCTTCTACAGCATGAACGGGATCAGCGAAATCAGTTTGAAGAGATGGTGATGGCTCTGGCCAAGCAGCACCAGGAAGAGAGCGTAAAAGTCCATGCAAGTTCCCCATTTCAAGCTCCTCCGGTGACTGGGGTTGCCAAAGCCAACGGCAGCATCCTCACGGAGTCTAAATCCGATGAAGGAGAGTTGGTTGATGCTCATGTGGAGGGTCATGAACCAAAGAGTACCTCTCTTGATTTCATTGTTCATGAATGTCACAAACTATCATTTACTGTGGACAGTCTTCCAGGCACTGTTTCCTCATCTTCCATTGGGTTGAGGCACTGATCTGTCAATCCATGACATGTACCTTCTTTTCATGAGGCTTCTTTTGCCATATGAATGTTTCTTCAGATGTTACTATACTGTTTAAAGTTTCATGAAAACTTTTTGGAACCCGTTTCACGGGCCGGCGAAGGAAACACAAGTTCTCATGAGACAGAAGACGGGAATGAAGAGTATCATTCTCGTCACCGACGCGTGCTCAGCTGCATTACATTAATGCCATGTCTCTTATTTTTTT